AGAGAGAGAGAGAGGCTTCGTGTCAAACACTTGGAGGCCATCTTCTTGTTATTTCTTCTTATACGACGAGAGAGAACATATAGGTCCATGTGTGTGTTTGTGTGTATGTGTGTGGGTCTGAGAAACGGTTTCGGTGAGGATTCCTTAAATGAATTGGCGAATCAGGTTTCCAAACCGGAATCGTGGGTCAGCAAAGACCGTTTGTTGGAACCACGGAGTCTCGATTCCTTAATTTTGGAATCTTGTTTCAGTAATGTTTAGAATTTTCAACCCATTATTTGTGGAAAGTCGTTCCCAAATACATTGAATTGTAACTCAAGCAAATATTGAATCTTGAGTCCACCTCAAATAATACATAATTCCACATCTAATGATTCTCTTTTTGCTAGGGTTTTGAATCTAGAATCTACAATGTATATCAATTCATAGGAGTAGGGAAGTGCAATTCAATCAATATGGAATCTTGCTTCCATATCTTTTAGAAATACATAATCCTATTTTGTCTATATAATAATGAAGTCATAATCCCAATTTAGAAATATATCTTTGGGATATAATTTTCCTAATATATTATTTGACCCTAAATTCAGTGGTCAACACAATCATTTTAAAATTTACTCTACGAGTCTAATAAGAGACATTTGTTATAGGTTCTAAAGTTGGTAAGGCTCAAGATGTGTATGGGACTTCCTACTCCATATAATTGCAATCTCGATTGTTGGGTAGTGGTCTCCGTATTAATGTAATTCTCGATTTCAAACTAGCATGCATCGCGGATCCATATACGTCAGAAACTCAATTCCAAAGATTTTGGAATCATGATTCTAAACTGCAGCATATCTCTCTTCCACATATGTCAAAAACTCAATTCCATAAATGTCAGAATCTCAATTCCACATATCGATGAATCTCGATTCCAGGGGATAGGAATCTCGAATCCAAGGAGGCTGGAATCACGACTCTTGATGTGGATGAATCTCAAATCTATTTTAGTTGAGACGCAATTCTAGGAATTTAGGAATCTCGTTCCCCGCAATTCCCACTGTACGGTTGTCGATTCCGAAAACAAGAATCTTCCATGCGGCCACGATTCCAATTCTTGAAATGATTCGGGTTCCCAGGCGTTTCCAACGACTATGTTGGACCTTGGTTTGTGTTTTCTACCTTTGTAATTCGAATCATCTTTGTTATGCTGGTGTGCTGTCAAGTAGTGAGGAGATTATTATTCTAAGATGTATATCAATGATGTAAATTTATGTTTGATTGATCATAGGATTCTTTGAGTTAGACTGGTTTCGGACATTCTTTAGATATAATTTGAGTTTGACTTGTCTCTGACATTCCCTCAAAAAAGAAATTTTGGATTGGGGATGTATTTGTGGTTCTTAAACTAGGAATTAAGTATAGGGGGACTTTTATTGACTTCAAACATCATGCTTCTTATCTTGTCTTGAGTTCGACAAATCTTCCTAACATGATACTAGTCCATATTTTTGAATGATATATTATTATACCTGATATACATGTGAGATCATATCATATCCCAAACATTAGTATCAACCATGCTTCCATCTCTTTAATCTCTGTAGTCAGTAATACTAACCATTTATGTGCATTGAGAAGCCTGATTATGTTAAAAAAATTAACAGATGTTTTTATGCCTATGCGCTGCTTTTTTTCCCTCTTCTTGGATGTCATTTGTGTATTAAAGTCGTAATCGACACATGCTACTTTAGATTTGTGATGGGCTTTTTGCTATTTTTCTCAGAGCCATTGTGAAGGACTCAGTGACCATGACTTGTCTAGCTTAACTGCATTATCACCCTTGGATGGTAGATACGTGCAAAAGGTCAAGGAGTTGCACTGCTTTTTGAGTGAATATGGCCTGATTCGTTATCGTATTTTGGTTGAGGTAAATAACTGTTGATTGTTTTTCTAAGTGATATGATTTGTTCGTCAAACTCTTCTATTCTTGATGCATGTTTTGATGGTAGATACGTGCAAAAGGTCAAGGAGTTGCACTGCTTTTTTAGTGAATATGGCTTGATTCTTTATCGTATTTTGGTTGAGGTAAATAACTGTTGATTGTTTTTCTAAGTGATATGATTTGTTCGTCAAACTCTTCTATTCTTGATGCATGTTTTGATGGTAGATACGTGCAAAAGGTCAAGGAGTTGCACTGCTTTTTTAGTGAATATGGCCTGATTCTTTATCGTATTTTGGTTGAGGTAAATAACTGTTGATTGTTTCTATAAGTGATATGATTTGTTCTTCAAACTCTTCTATTCTTGATTCATATTTTAATTGTTTTTCTCCATCACATTTTCCTTTGAACTAATGGAATTTGGAAAGCCAAGATGGTGGGTTTGTCTTCAATTGAATATTTTTGATCTTCTTTCTTGCATACTACAGATGTCTGCTAGCCAGCTAGATTATTCTGTATATGCAACGTGTATGCGCTATGCAGTGGACTGATTAGTCACTTGCAATTACAAGGGGATGCATATTATGTGACCAATCCTCTAGTACCTTTTGACGTTGATCCTTTCAAATAGATTTTAACCATGATTGGCGATATTGGTTTGACCTTGTTCAGCAGTATCCTCTTGCAAATATGATGTATATTTTCCTTCCAAGGAATGCTTCCACTTCAACATCCTATAATTATTTGTGCATTTTATGTCATTGTGGCTCCTTAAAGAAGTTAACATGATCTTGGCATTACTTTTCACAGTAGTCATTGTCTCATAGCAGGCTGTGCAAACCTGCTGTTTTTGTTCTGTTTTTAAGCTTAAGTTGTGTGAATAATTGAAATCTATTTAATGGCCATGCAGATGCAATCCTTGGTGTAATAATTGAAGAGTAGCTTGTTTCCTGCTGCTTTTTCTCCTGTATAATTTGCAAAAATTTGAAAGAACTGGTTATGTGGAGTTTTTGGGAATAAAATAAAAAACTTTTCTCTATTTTGTTACTAATATATCTGAGTTCCACTTACAAGTGCCACAAAACAATGTTGTAAACAAGAAATGAAACCCTAAATATGACCTATGGCCTTTTCCTTTTATTGCCAAATAATCCTAACTCAATCCGGGGCTGAATACAAGCTTTAACTATGAATTCTAATACAAATAATGTTCCTGAAAATTACAATAGATTGTGTAGTAATGTCTGAAAACTTAGAAGACGTGCTTGATGTTGTCGAGGGCCACTCCCATAGGACTTGGTACACCCCACATCCAATTACTTGACCGATGGCGCCCTCTGATCCTATTGGTCCTGCTGAATTCTCTGAATTGGGAAGCTCCTTTGGACAATTCCTTTTTCAAAACTAGGGTTTGAGAGCATAAAACAAATTAGGGTTTTTCTAGACCTTTTTTGAGACTCTTATGGTTAGCCACCTTAGTGGCACATCCTTTTCAGAATGGGCCTGGCATACCCCTCTGTGTTATATGGGTGGCATACCACCCCAAGCTCCCTAGGGTGGTGCATGCCATACCTTTGGAACTAGAGAGGAGAGAGGAGAGAGGAGAGAGGAGAGATATAGAGAGGGGTGTGGAGGAGAGAGGAGAGTGAGAGGCTAGGAGATTTCAGATGGTGAGAATGAGGCAGTCTACCCTCTATTTATAGCTCCAAGATGGTTCTAGGTATACTTATCTAATTTAGAATTCATCTTGGCCATAGGAGTCCTAGGTAATCTATGAGGTGAGAGAAACATAACTGAGCCATTCGTCCCTTGAATCAGCCACCATGATTGAGAGGGGAATTTAAGAACCTTATCCCTTGAATCTTCGACCCACATTCACTTCTAGTCAACTTAGGATATGACCAATCAAAAGATCTTCTATCTTGAGTAGTACTTCCTCTTCTCTTACAAGGAGATTGTAGGAATTCAAAATCAAAGAGATTTGGTAAAAAACAAAGATTTGAAAATAATATTTTTCACACGTAAAGTGTTCTTTGCTCCCACAAATATTGACACTAAATCTTTTTCAAAGATTTCATTGCGTTTCCTTCTTTAATAAACCATCCTTATTAAAAACATAACTTAATCCTTAACAAAAATGAAATGACATGGCCATCGTCACTAGGCTAGGACACGTGGTCCATATGGCCCCCATGTCCCATGCCATGTGGGTTGGGCCCTTGTCACAAGAGTCCCAAAATGCCCTAGGGATTTTTGGAAAATTACAAAAACACCCTTTTAGTATTTTTTTTTGCTAAAAATAATTTTAAAAAATTCTTGAAATTTTTTTGAAAACTACATAATCATTTCGGTGCTGATAGGCCTACATTAGGGGTTAGACTTGAGCCCATATATGTTTGTTTTAGTTATGGACGAGTCAACTAGGCACCTACAGGATGAAGTACTACCGTGGCGTATGTTGTTTGTGGATGACATAGTTTTGATCGACAAAGTTAGAACTTTGGAGTGATGTTCTAGAATCTGAAGGTTTTAAAATTAGTAGGACTAAAATAGAGTATATAAAATGCAAGTTTAGTAATAATAAGAATAAAAACGAGGAAGTAATTAAGATTGATGGCCAAGATATACTTAAAAGAAAGTATTTTTGATATCTGGAAAATGTAATCAAGGAAAATAGAGAGATTGAGGAAGATGTCGCACATAAACTTACGGTTAGGTGGGAGAAATGGTGATGTGCATCTGGCGTTTTATGTTATCACCGCATATTATTGAAACTGAAGAGGAAGTTTTATAGGACAACTGTGATACTATATTTTCTTTATGGGATGGAATGTTGCGTAGTCAAGAAACAACATACCCATAGGATGACTGTGGCTGAGATGAGGATGTTGAGATGGATGAGTGGCAAGGCAAGAACAAATAGGATTCAAAATGAATACATTTGATGGAACTTAGATGTGGCTTCAATAGTTGATAAAATGGGCTGGTCATGTGCAATGTAGATGCGATACAACACCGGTTATGAGGTACGATTTGGTTAAAGTGAAAGGCTTTAAAAGGACTAGGGAGGACACAAAAAGATATTGATGGATATAGTTAGAAAAGATATGGGGACTTATGGTTTTACTAAGAATATGACCCTTGATAGTGCAGAATGGCGAAACATGATTCGTGTAGCCGACCCCAAATAGTTGTGATAAGGCTTAATGATGATTATGATGACATAATCATTTATTAAATTGGGAAAAAAAAATCTAGAAGTGGATTGTTACCAATGGCTCGAGAAAAGTGATAGGCAGGGAATTCCACCTGACTCAATAATCGTGATCCTCGATTATCTTCTCATGCTAACCCAATGAGACCCTTGACCCATAGTCTCTTGTAGCGGCTCATGATTGGCTTGAAAACGCTTGCCAATAAATAGTAAAACCACAAGCTCTTTTCACTATAACTCACGATGAAACCCCAAAATAATTCATTCACAACTTATGCGATACACTTTGTAGCATTTCACACTTGTTCCTCTTGGCTTTTCACATCCGAGGAAGGACCTTTCAATCGCATGAACATGCTCAACACATAGAGGCTACCATGTTGGCCTCACACACAAGATTCATGATAAGTTTTGGTAACGTTTTACGTTGGCTGCCTACCTAACACAATCCAACTCCTTTACTTGGGCATGGGGCAGGTTAAAGGAAAGTTTAAGGTCCTCACCTGTCTTAGACCAATTGGCCTCACACACACAAAGGAATATTTCTTGATGAAATCAGTACTAACAGAATTAGGGTTTCCACTCTCTCACTCTTTTTTTTTTTTGTTCAGGTTGCTATTTCTTTAAAGAATAAAGAAGAAGAAAATAAGCAAGTCAGTTCTTTGATACCATATAAACAATACTGGTGAACAATACAGTGAATATTGCCATGAACAGTTCCATGAAAAGTGCCATGAACAGTAAAAGGTGTCAAAAATAAAGAGAGAAAGGGAAATGAAGAAGAAAAGAACGAAAGAGAAGGGAGAGAGTGACAAGAGATTCAATCACCCTGTGCCCCACTAATGTCTTTATTTATAATTGTTTGGGGTTTGCAAAGCACAAAAATACCGTCAATGAAAATAAGTATCAGATAACATATCAAAATGACAGAAATGCCTCAATATGCAAAACAAGTTATTCTTTAACAAATTTTTTGGTTCCAATCATATGTAGAAATGTATAACTATTTAGAAATGGAAGTTGGTGATGCTACATCTATTAAGTTAAAGTTCAGTCCGATGTTAAGCATTGGGAAAAATGACTTGAGTTGGGGAATGGATTCTTATGCAACGATTTTTTTAATCATATTACTTATTTTGGGAAATCCCTAAAAGTTAGAAAAATAAGAAAAGCACGTTGAAAGCATTAGGTCTTAAAAAATTGTTGCATTTTATATTTTCAAAACATGATTTTAATCTTTTATAAACATGCATAATGGAAGAATTCTATGAGTGAAAAGGCACATTTAGTGAGAAAGGTTATGAGAATATCAGGCTCTCTTTTTCAGTCACCTACCTCTCTGTTGATGTGTATAACGCTACTCAAGTGAAGTTGGATCAATTGCTATATCCATTGTTAGATTTTGAAAACATATAATAATAAATCTACTTAGACATGAAAAGAGTGTCATAAAATCAGTTTGGATTTATGCTAGGGAGGTCAACCATTGAGGCTATTTTCTTAATTAGGCAATTGTTTGAGAAGTTTAAGGAGAAGAGAAAGGCCTCCACGTGGTCTTTATTGATCAGCAAAAAGCATATGATAGGGTAGCTAGAGTGATAATTTGGTCGGCTGGAAAATAAATGAGTCTCAATAGGATACATTGACATAGTTATGGATATGTCAGAGGGAGTGCTAATTAGTGTGAGGACATTGTATGGGTTGTGGCATCTACAGGATGAGGTCCTGTAGTATAGCTGTTTGCGTATGAAATAGTTTTTGATTGATGAGACTAGAACGACATAAATACAAAATTAGAACTTTAGAGGGATGCTTTGGAATCTGAAGTTCTTAAAATTAGTCGGACTATGACAAAATGTATGGAATGCAAGTTTAGTAATAATATGAGCAAAAATGAAGAATTAGTAAAGACTGATGGCCAATAAGTACCCAAAAGAGATTATTTTCGATATTTTGGATCTATAATCTATGAGAAAGGAAAGATTGTGGAGGATGTTGCTCGTAGAATTAGAGCTTAGTGGATGAAGTGGAGGTGTGTTTCTAGAGTCTTATGTGATCACATACCAATGAACGAAGGGAAAGTTCTATAGGACGACTGTAAGATCAACCATGCTTTATGGGAGAATGTTAGGTGGTTAGGAAACAACATATGCATGTAATAAGTGTTAGCTAAGATGTAGAAGTTGAGATGGATAAGTGGCAAGACAAGGAAAGGTAGAATTCGAAATGAATATATTTGAACGAAATTACGATAGCTCCAACAAGCGATAAGGTAAGGGAAAGTAGACTTACGTGGTCTGGTAATGTGAAGCATCGACATAGAACAACACGGCTTAGGGGTGATTTGGTTCAAGTGGAAGGCTCTAAAAGGCAGTAGGAAGGCTCCAAAGGACATGGATGAAAGTAGTGAGAAAAAATATAGTGACTTATGGTCTTACTGAGGCTATGGCCATTGAGAGAGCAGAATGGTGGAACATAATTCGTATAGCCGACCTCAAATCGTTGGGACAAGGCTTGGATGATGGTGGTGATGATAATGTATAATCACAAATGATGATAATGTATAATAACAAATAAGAAGGATGGCACAACTATGTCTAGAAATATATTTTGGTTGGATAGCCAAGCATACTCCACAGACTACTTGGACTAAAGAGTTTTGAACTGATTTGTTCCCTTATTAGTGTTCCCCTCGCACCTCATGAGCTTTCTTTTTGTTTTTTTCTTTTTTGATGGTGCTTTTTCTTGTAGTAATCTTACTGTTTGAAGTTTTATTTCTCGAAATACTCTAATGAGCCAAAAGAGATCAAACTTAAATCTGAGTTTCTAAAACTAAGAGTAGCTATGGGTGGTCATATTTTTCAATTTCTTCAGCTTTATTTGTTTATGTGACTATGTTTTCTTTACTTTTTGTAGCCTGTTTGCTTCTCTATTTAGTCGCTTAGTCTGAACATTCATCATGTAACAATCATTGTTGACTTAAGTGCAGTGGAAGTCTGCTCTTTTTCGTATGTTAGGTTTTTGATGTAGTGATGCTCGTATTGTTCTTTGTGGTTGTAGGTCAAGTGGTTGATAAAGTTGTCACAAATTCCTGAAGTCACTGAAGTCCCAAGCTTTAGTGACAATGCCATATCTTATTTAGAAGACCTAGTTCAAAGTTTTAGTTTGGATGATGCCTGGGAAGTGAAAAGAATAGAGAAAGTTACCAATCATGATGTAAAGGCCGTGGAGTACTTCTTGAAAAAGAGATGCCAATCCTTTCCAGAAGTTGCAAAGGTCAGTGATTTTTCTTTTTTTGTTCTCGTAATAGTTGCAGATGTTATTTCTACTTCACTTATTTCCTTCTCTCAAGGCCCCTAAAATGTGTGGGCTAGGGTCTAGTACATCTTTTCTTTTCGCTTGCTCTTGGAGTGATTCTATCTGTGTTGTGTATTTTGATTTTGGGAAGTTCTTTCTCGGCATGAATCCCTAGGTTGTATTCCCACAGTTGATGTCAAGATCTTTATGTATGCTCTTCTTGCCTGATGAAGTTCTAAATTTATGTTACTCGTTATGCTAAAGGTAAATGTTTATCTGTGCTGTATTATGAAGATATGCACTTTTATGTTTTTGTTTGATCACAAATTAAAAAAAATATTTTTGATGAGATAACTTAAGCGGAAAAGGACTTGTTGTTCCTGGGTATTGAAGTTTTGTGGTGAGATATTTCTGTTGAAAAGGACCTTTTTTTCTTAAATATGATCAGTTAACCAGTCAATTGATCTGGTTAGACTGGTCCAGCCAACCAGTGCCTCCACTGGTTAAATGGCTAAGTCGGGTCCTGATATCATTATTCGTACTGTTGGAAGCCACAGAGTTCAGGTGCTCTTGACTATACCTACATTGGAAAACATGGAGGTTTGATGTGATTATGCATTCTCTAGACCTACACAATAATGTATGGGTGACCAAATCCTTCATTTGAATTTGTGAATTATTCTAGGTGCCTGGTTAAATTCTCAACTGAGGCATGGCTCCATGTCCTCATGAAGTTTTCAACCCAAGTTTAGTCCTTTGCTTCTAATCAGCATTGGGAAGTGTATGACCTGCTTATTATCTTAGCCATTGAGGTAATAGCCAATTCTGTTGACTTTAAAGCTTTAGTACCTGTTCTCAAACTTCATGCTGTAATTGTTGCAATCATGTTGCCATGTTGGAATTTTAAGTCATGGAACTTAAATACGTTTAAGAAAAAATATAGTTGATGGCATGTATGTATCTTTTTAGATTGCTTTGATCTACATTTTTGGGTGTGATATATTGTTTGTGTTTTAGGTACTGGAGTTTTTTCACTTCTCTTGCACATCTGAGGATATCAATAATTTGGCTCATGCATTAATGTTGAGGGAGTCCCTCAATATGGTAATTCTTCCTATCATGGATGAGTTGATTACAGCTATATGTGATCTTGCGAAGAAAAATGCAGACGTTCCTATGCTTTCTCGAACACATGGACAGGTAAGGTCATTTCTAAGATATAAGCTGGAATCTGGATTAATATTTGTTGCATAATTGTTATTTATGTTTGCCATCATAAAAGGGCGCCGTGAATGTTTTCTATGCTACATTCTCCGTTGTGAGGCCTCCTTGGAGACTACCTTTAATGCTCCTCTAATAATATAGAAAAGTATTTACTAAACTTCTCTATAATTCCAACAGACACATCAGATTGTGACTCATGATACGTTTCTATTTCCAATAAATATCTCTCCAATACGTGCTTGCCGTAGTAGAAGATAACAGAAGGGTAGGAAGTGAATTCGTTAAAGCAATGGGGAAGATGGTATACAATGGTATTAACAATGGGACCTCAGGATGAAGGTGAGCAGATTTTGAATGTATTATGTGATTACTTAAATATAAAAGTAGTCGATGGTTGACTCTGAACCTAATTCTTTTATGTTATCAAATATCAACACTCATAACCTCCTTGCCTTAGTGACTTAAAAAATTGAGTTTTATAGTGGTTGGGGGTTTTTCAACTTGACTATTAAGAACCTGTTTTTCCTTCTAATCTGAATGAAGGATAGGAGGGAGCTGAGACTCACCTTGAAATATTTAACAAAATAACCTCTATCACTTGGCATAGAAAGTCTCGGGTTTTTTATTGCATATGCAGGCTGTTTAACACAGATTATGACTTGTGTGTTGACATCTCATGCAAGTTTGTGTTTGGGAAGTGTCCCAAGGTATGAACCTTTTTGCATTGGAAGCATGGGACATGACATCCCCATTTTTTTTTATTAGGGTTTAGTGCTGGTGGAGAATGCCATTATGACTTAAAAAGTGAAATTTCTTTTGTAGGTATTCACCATCAGATATTCTGTTGTCAAGTCGAGGATCTTAATTTATATTCAGATTTATGAATGTGACAATCATCATTAACTTAAATATGCCCAAGTGTTACTAGAGAAACATGCACAAGATAACATAACATCATCATCAGAGCCTTTTCCCAACTACTTGGGGTTGGCTAGAAAGATAAAATAACTCCTGGCACAAAAGTTGGACAAAGCAGGAGATGTTCCTCAAACATTAGAATGAACAATATCAAATGTAATTCTTACATTTAATTTCAAGTTTAGCCAACTTGCATTTGTTGCAGCCCATTCATGATTAAAATTCTTAAAAGAAGTGTATGAAGGAATGTTCCAGAATTAAACTTCCTAATCCTATTAGAGACAATATGACTAGAGCGCTTAGCCCAAAGATGCTGGGTATGAAGAAAATGAGTTGATATAATTCTCGATGCTACCATCAATGGGTTTTAGGAAATAATTAGGTGAAAGAGATGACTCACTTTATGGCTTCACAAGTTCCCCTTTATGTTTTCTTATATCAAGTAACACTACAAATAGACAAAGTATTAGTTTTTAATCAATCTGTAGACAAACAGATGACATATTCATAGTCAACTGCAGGACAAATTAAACAGCATTTTTAAGAATGGAATTATAGTTAATCCTGTTAGGCTAATACCATGAATAGTGCCACTAGCATCCCTGCCCTCAAAATTATCAAATGTGGATTGCAACTGGACATTCGTAGCTGACTGATTGGTTATATTAACGTCAAATGCAAACATACAAGAAAAGTGGGTAAAAGTTGTGTGCTAGACACTCGGATGGCTCCTGCTCCATTCCCCTTCCTCCCGTCTACCACAATCATACGTACCTCCTCCACCCGTCATCCTTTAAAACCTTCTTCTTTACCCATTCATTCCCTTCCCTTTAGCCACCACACCTCCATGCAGACCCCTTCCCCTGCTCCTCATCACACCTCTTCTCTCCTCCCCTCCACCTCTGTACAGCCTTCCACCACCTCGACCCTCAGGTTTCTCCTTTCTTTGTCCACTTAATCCCCATCCAACATCATCTTGAACCCAACAATATCCGCCTTAACAGCCCACATATCCCCATTCTCGAGCAGTCTCTTCAACACTCTCTGGTTGGTCACGTCAAATCCATAGAGATGACATCAAGGGTAAAGAGAAATGGGGCCAAGGCCTTTGGGGGAAACCCAACCTCACATGTCGGAAGATCTCAAATGGTAAATTCCTCTTCTCCTTCTCGTCGCTTGAAGCTGGTCATAAAGCTCTTCAATGGCCTTCACCCCATTTAAAAGGTGCTTCTCTTTCGTTCTCTAGGTGGAGCAAAAACTAGGGAGCATTCATCAAACGAAAGATTTGGCTCAGAGCCTTCAACATCCCCCTCCACGCTTAGCATCCAGACACCTTCAGACTCATCAATGGAGCTTGTGGTGGTTTCGTTCTCTATGCATTGGGAGTCCGTTAAATACCTTCCCTTGGGAGCTGTTCAACTCCTCGAGACTCCCAACCCCCTTTTCCTCCCTCTCTCTAGCTACAAATTCATGATAAGTTTTATTAGTTCCACATTGCTTGGATCTCTGCTTATCCGCCTCCACAACACCATGTCCAAGTTTGCATCGTAGCTTCACCTGGGCAACAAGGTCAGGGCCACTCTGGTAGGCCACGATAGGTGGACCACGGTTGATCCTAGAAGTCGCGGGAGAACCTATCAGCACCGTCTGATGGGCCACCAGAAAGAACCACAATCTTCGACGACCCTGATCATCTCCACCCATTGAGTGTTTGATCCTCCTAGGTTCTGAAGCCCATCCCATAGGGAGCATGCTCTCTCTACGGCCAAGATTCAACAATGAGCCCCTCCTTTCCTCCACATCCAATGGGCCCCCCTTCTTCCCTAGCCCTCACCCCTTCCTTTCCTCTATGTGTGTCTTTTGTCCTTCTTCTTTTCCCCTACCCACTCACGTGACCAACTTGAATCGTCCTTCTTCTAACCACCCCCCTTTCCACTGGACGAACCCCACCCACTCGTCTCCTAGCCCATCTGCCTCGCTCTCCTTCCCTTGAGACTGCGGCACACGTGGCTCAACCCTCTCTTCATCATGTGGCCTTCCCTTATCCTCATCCTCTATGTGTTTTAGCCAGTGCGAGACAACCCATGTTGCTTCATCTTTGGTCTCTCTCCCAGTCACTTGTTCACCCTCATTGGCTCCTTCTCTCTCTCTTCCCTTAGCTACCACACCTCTCTTTCTGCCTATCTCTCCACCGAATAACCATCCTCCCCTTTTTTGCTACCTCCTCATCTTTCTGGCCTCGCAACCACCCACTTACCCCCCTAGTGCATCATCACCTCTCATGCTGACCTGATTTGCCCCTGTAGACGAGCGATGGCCACCCACTCTTGCCAGTCGGTTTAAGTTACTTCTTATCCGTAACCTTCAGCCCTCTACGACAATCGAGCTCCCCCTTCGGCCCTTTGATGGCCATCTTCCCTCCCCATCAGCTGCGCCTTGTTCCAAGTCTGATGCGTCTTGGTTTACTTCTCCTGGCTCAAGAATCAATCCCCCCGCCTTGGTGGCCCTCCCCTTGTCAAGCTCCCCTCCCACTGCCACAGAGGCCCTCCCCTCACCCATCTCATTTCAGAGGCCTTTTCCTTGCCCTTCTCAATTCAGGGACTACCCCCTTTATCACCCCTTGAAACTAAGGCACCACCACTTGCACCACTCAGCGGCACCCTCCACACCTGTAGCCGGCCTCTCCACCGACCCTATACTCCTCTCTTCCTCGACCCCTGTGGCTATTTCCTCAGCTTGTTCTTTTCTCTTGCCCTCTTCCTCCTCCCCCTTGTCTCTTGTGCCCCCACCTCCTCACCCCACCCCTAGATTGTCTCCCTCCCAACCCCTTGTTTCAATCCCCTTTTCCCTTGCTCTTCCGGGATATTGCAGGATATTACCTCACATCGCTCATCAACCACTTCCCCCATCATCAACCACTTCCCCTTTGGTTGCCCTTCTCCCCCCCAACCGTTCTTCTCATCTCCTTCAACCCATTCTTGCAGCCATCTTCTAATCTCCCACTGCACCTTCAACCCTCTTCTTCATTCGAACCCCTTCAAGGGGTAATGCCTCTTCCCTTCGTTTGTCACCACTACACCTTCCCCTATTTTAGCTACCTTCGTGGGGATGAGCCCCTTCCTTGTCCCTGGTAGACCTTCTTCACCCCCTCCCTGGAAGATGTGGTTGTGTAAAATTCCAAGCAATAAATTAAAAAATTTTCCTTCTTTTCTTTTATTAATTGCTGGAAATTCTACTTACAGGTGCCACAAATAGCAATAAAATCAACCCTACTACAATCTAGGATCTTTAAAAACTTATTGCCATACAATCTTTTATTAAACTGTGTACAATATTGAGACTTTAGGAAGCAAAATAAAATAATTACAGCAGCAAACAAAATTAAAGAAATTAGGGAAGACTTATTGGCCTTTCTTAGGGTTACCCTACTAGGGCTTAGCACCCCATACCCGAACGCTTGAGCGATGGCGCACTTGATCCTTAGATCTTGTGGAATCCATCAATATGAATTGGGAAGCACCTTTGGAACACCCTTATCTGAAGTCTATGGGGCTGAAAGTATGGGTCACTATGACATCTTCTTAGCCCCTTTTTAATCCCTTGGGTATGCCACTATATGGCACCCCTAGCTTATTCTAGGGCTGGGTGTGCCCCCTTCTTTTAAGTGGTGCGTGCAACCCCAATGTGCTTATAGGGGTGGCGTGCCACGAAGAGAGGAGAGAGAACTAGAGAGAAATGGAAATGGCATGGAGAGCGAGAGAGAGAAAAGGAGAGAGAGAGGGCTGAAGAAGTGTGTAGAGAATAAAGGGGGGTTCCCCTCTTTATATAAGCCTCAAGAGCACCAGGGTGTTCCAATTAAATCATGATTCAACAATATCTAAAAAACTATTTAGGTAATCTATGAGGTGAGAGAAATAATTTGAGCCATTCATCCTTGAAATCCCCATCATGATTTTTCGATAATTTTAGGAACTTGATCCTTTGAACCTTTGGACCCATATCCACTTTTAGATAAGATAGACTTCTAATTTGTTTTGAATGCCGATTAAAGTAGGGGC